ACACCCCAAGTGTGACTATTTTTTTTCAACCACTTAGACTATTCACATCCTGTCCCCAATCTTTTTTTTCGGGGGTGTTCAAATACCAAATACCAACAAAGTCACCAAATTTCGGACCATTCCGAGGAAGCTGTGATTTAAAAAAAAATTAGTTAAATTTTTCGGGTCCATTTGGGCCGAACAACCCCAGAGGGTTAATAGCTATTCACACATTGGCAATAAAATTCTTAAATAGAACCTTTAATCTAACATGTTTTATTTGTGATTTTTTCAATGAACGAAAACGTATAATAATCATCAAAGGACGTGGTGGGGATAGGCCTAAGAAATCATTGACCTGATCTCAGTCTTCTGTTCCTATTCATGTAGAGATGAACCCGCTGAACCTTAACTGACATATGAATATCAATTATTCAGACGTTCATTGAAGTGGGAACTGCCCATGGAAAGCTCTGTTCATATCTGTGTTCATGCGCTGTCTAATTAAAAGATATCAGAGAACCTGATCTACTGCTGTCACAGAAAAGACTCTGTTCTCATGCAACATTAACACGGTGTAAATGATAACGCTCTCAAACAATACAGATCAATGATGGGAACAAGAGTATGTTGAAATTATTCAGACTGAACACACGGAAGCATTAATTGTTGAGAAAGTTCAAAGCATAAAGTTTACAAACGGGTTGCTGTGGGTGTCTTGTATTAATAAATGCGAAAATAAAACAATATATTCTAAGTGTTCGAGTTATTCTAAAAAGAAATCGCGTTAAGACAAATAAATACACATTAAAAATGGGTTAATTTGTGTATAAAAAGTTAACGGTAACAATCTGGACATTGATTTAGTTTGATTTTTTTGCATTGTTAAATGTCTTGTGTCTGTGAAAGGTGCAAACTATTATATTTATTAAAAACAACTTCCTGCATAAAAAGTAATGCGTTTAAAAAGCAATTTAAAAGGTTTTATTTATTTATAGCTTGCGTGATTTTCATGATAAATAATGTTCATTTGCCCATTTTAATAGTGATTTATTTACCTGCAGAACTCGCCCTCGTCTCGTTTCTCCCTCTAGATTTCAACAACGATGACTTCATCTGTAAATCCGACCTGGAGAAAACCTTGAACAGACTGACCCGCAACGAGCTGACCCAGGACGAGGTGAGGATGGTGTGTGAGAAGGTGATCGATGAAGCTGATATGGACAATGATGGTCGATTATCTCTGGAGGATTTCCAGCACATGATCGTGAGAGCGCCTGATTTCCTCAGGTAACAGTTACACACACTTTTCTGTTCAGTTTATTTAGATATTTCATTGAATGGTTTTCCAATTAAATCGTTTCTATTTTAAAGGATTATTTTGGATTAAACAGCATCAGTAACTCAGTGTTTCTAAGCATAATATTCATAACAAATAAACATGACATGTGTTAGCATGAAACGGCTGTGATACTATTACTTAAAGGGATAGTTCACTTTGAAATAAATTTTTGGTATGTTTTAGCTTACCTCAAGGGCATCGAGATGTGGGTGTCTTTGTTTCCACAGTATTTTCAATTTTGATAGGTCAAACCGTTGTTGTCTATCAGTCATATAATGGAGGTCTATGGTCACCACCTCAAATCTTAATCTTTTATCACCAAAATTACTTTTAAAAAGAGTTTCCTTGAAAAAAAATGTTGTCACGTCTTAAAATATTCTGAATGTAACTCGATACCCTCGCATCGTTTAGTATGGCGTTCTATGAATATGCAAATGAGCCCCGCCTCCTTGTGATTTCAAAGCGTGTTTTTGAGACTGCAGTTTTAAGCAGAAAATACTCAGCAATGCTGTCGACTTATAAATATACACACGGTTTGTCTTAAAGCACATTAAAACACCACAGACATATAAACAACATTAAAAGCTGGATTTTCTTTAACCAACTATATCTTTAATCACCTCTAATGACCAGATAAACTGGTAACTTTCACATGACCTACACTTTTTCATTAAAAGACAATTATTTGTCCCCTCAAATTTATTTTCAAATTTATTTTTTATTTTATTTTTTTTATAAATAAAATAAAATTTATATTTTTATTTTATTTATTTTATTTCAAATTTATTTTCAAGGGCAATTTTTAAAAACTTTTATTATGACATATGTTGACCAAAAGTGATGTCCTCCATCTTCACCCTTTATTCAAATATTAGAAAATGCTTGGATTGTTTTATTTGTGATGCAATGAATCATAAATTATGCCAACCTACTTTTTATGCAACATTATAAACACGTCCAGCTGTTAACAGGTTATATACAAATGCTCTTGATAAGAGCTCACTGTTAATACGATCTTAATCTTCTGGCTTTCAGCACCTTTCACATCAGGATATGAAGATCATCGGGACACTGACCAACAGGACATTTACTTTCATTAGACGATGTAAGAGCTTTCTCTGCAGATTCGGAAGTCAGGAACGGATGGTGTCGCCCACGGCGAAGTTTAATATAAAGTAGACACCTGTACTAATATAAGAAGAATGTTAATGTTCATAATCGTAGAATCTTAATATTGAACATTAATGTGCCTGAAAAGCTTATTATGCAGCTAATCAACACGTGAGAATTAAAGTAGTTCACTTTTAAAAAAACTTTTGCTGATAATTTACTCACCCCCATGTCATCCAAGATGTCCATGTGTTTCTTTCTTCAGTCGAAAAGAAATTAACATTCCAGGATTTTCTCCATATAATGGACTTCAATGGGGTCCAAACGGTTCAAATGAGAGTTTCAGTGCAGCTTCAAAGGGCTTTAAACGGCACCAGACGATGAAAAAAGGTCTTATCTAGCAAAACGATCTCTCATTTAATAAATAAATACAAAAGTTTAAGTTTTGTAATCTTAAATGCTCGCCTTGCTCTGTTCTGTGATGCGCGTTCGTGACTCTCCTGTTCGAACTCGTTTATCAAAATGAACAAATCTTTTTTTCGAGTTAAGAGAAGACCCTTATCATCGTCTGTGTCGTTTAAAGCTGCATTGAAACTCTCTTTTGGACCCTGAACCGTTTGGACCCCATTGAAGTCCATTATATGGAGAAAATCCTGGAATGTTAATTTCTTTTCGACTGAAGAAAGAAAGACATGGACATCTTGGATGACATGGGGGTGAGTAAATTATCAGCAACAATTTTTTTTTTTAAGAGAACAACTCCTTTAATTATTCCTCGTCAATATTAAACACACACACAGACACGTCTCTTAAAAGAATCTTGTTTTAATAAATCAAAAGTACAGATATCTACAAAAACTGTAGATCAGTTTTTCAATGTTTTAGAAAGTACAGTACAATTTAAGTAGATCTCTTTTTAGAGTTATTTACAATTGTTTCTTTTCTTTTTTTTTTTCTTACCAAAATGTAATTTACCAATCTCCCCAGTCACCTCACAATCGACAAATGAAAACATGGTCATATAAAAGAATCTGTAAATGATATGGATGACATTTCGTTTCAAATCAAGAGACAAACTAGACGGCAAAAAAAACAAGACATCACTGCTCGATAAACATAAAGCGTTTAAGACAGAAAGCGGTACCTGTTTGTCTGCATATCAAATAAAAATGTTGTCTGTTATAGTTTTTGCATTTTATTTGATCACTTTAAAACACCCTAAGGCCAGATTAAACCACGTCAAAGGTCCGTTATTACAACCAAACATGTTACAGACATGTGCAGAACATCTATAGAAAAAAAATAAAAATACATACACAGACAAAACATACAGGAGGTCAACAGTATCAACTTCATGATGCATAGATCCAAAATGAAAGATCAAGTATTAGTTATTAAGACAAACGGCAAGTATTATTGGACAGGGAGAGAAGAGAGATGCTATGGGTACAGACCATCTGTTATATGACAAAAATTTCATCGCCTCGAGGTGGAAAGAGAGTCATTTCTAGGGCTGTCAAACGATTAATCGCATCCAAAATAAAAGTTTGTGTTTACATAATATATGTGAGTAGTTCGTATAATTATTCTGTATATATAAATACACACACATGCATGTATATATTTAAGAAATATGTGCATGTACATACTTTATATTATACATAAATATAAATATTTGATATTAAGAACACATTTTTAAAATATATACATGCATATGTGTGTATTTATATATGCAAAATACACACACACACATATATTATATAAACACAAACTTTTATTTTGGATGCAATTAATCGTTTGACAGCCCTAGGAAGCTTTGGAAAGGAAAAGTGAATGTGCCTTATTGCAGTAAGAAGACAATTACACACACCTCTGCCTTCCTAACCTCTTTAAAACACACTCAGGTCATAATACACCCCAAATCCAATATATTGCATAAATTCTAAGGCTGTCAAACGATTAATCGCATCCAAAATAAAAGTTTGTGTTCACATAATATATGTGGGTGCACTGAGTATAATTATTTTAAATATATAAATACACACACATGCATGAATATATTTAAGAAATATTTTCACGTATATACTATATAGATTTATATATATATATAAATATTTTTTTCTTAAATATACATGCATGTGTGTGTATTTATATATACAAAATACACCCACATATATTATGCAAACACAAACTTTTATTTTGGAAGCGATTAATCGCTTGACAGCCCTTATAAATTCACAAATTCTCATTACTGTAATGCATCCATATTTTACTCTAAGGTACCATGATATGCAAGTATTTAATAAAAGTTGTACTATCAGAATAAGATTAATGTGCATTGCATTAATGAGAAAATAAACTGGTTTGGGGGCGAAATTTGACTTGAACATGTTCTCGTCGGGTTTTGGGAGTTTGTTCTTTCACTCAAAGCTAACAGGGGTTGAAGATTCCTGACCTATTGCTGGTGTACATTAACCCTCTGACATGGCTCATTGGACTACAAAACGTACATTTGAGTATACTGCGGCTGCACAATTTGTCAAAATATGTGAAAGACGCAACACTGAGAAAACTGAAAGCTCGTATCAAAAAACAAGAAGGGCTGGTCTTTGAACTCGAGCATTGCATTTCTTGCATTAATTATAAGCATGTCAACACAATATTCAGAAATCAGGAATGGTGGATTATTGTATTCTAGGTAGTTAAGCCTATTCATGTGAACCAAATCCGTTTAGGTTTTGCACTAATATGCCGTTCATCCATAATACATCAGACATATTAATACATGAACAGAACAACCCATTTATTCAAAACTGGTGTAGAAATATTCCTTGAAATCGTTTGGGGGAAATAAAAAAACGGCAGGTTATGCTCCACGTCACCAATGTAAAAACACCAGTCTTTATCACTATGTGGCACAAACTACACACACAACACAAAAGATACCGATAAAGTGCATGGACGTCTGTACGGGAGGTATAGCTCTGCTTTTCTTTTGGTAACACATTATTATTATTATTATTAATACTACAAACTTAGGAATTTCTCATCCTTACAAAGGGCAGCGAGTCAGTTTCATTCGATTTCAATTCAAGTGTTGGGACGTTCCCAGGTCGTCATGAAGCGAGACCTGAGGTTTTGGATTTACGCAAAGGAATATTTAAAAAGAAAGCTAGCGCTACTGCATAAAAGGCTGAACTATTTGGAAATAGCTTCATGTGCATGTTAAAAAAAAAGGAGGTTGGATTTAACGAAGCAGTGGGATTTGTTTAATATGCCATGTCTGTGAAACCCTGACTGCACCAATTGTGTGAACGCTTGTCAAAGGTTAGATATCAGCCTGAAAAAAAAAAAAAAAAAAATAGGTGTCAGGTTATAATATCCCACTACTAACAATAAGGTCGTGTGATTGTCGAAGAATGCGCCGAAAATAAAATGGAATGATAAAGATCGTCCCGCGAAACTCTCAAATTGGCTCAATGTTAGATCACGCTCTACGGCCAGACCCAGAACCTCAGAAGGAATGGATCAAGTTTGGCAGTTGTGCGCTCAAAACGAGCGATTGAAACAAAGATGGAGATGCGGCGATGCACGACGATGACTTGTAGAAACCAATGCTTTCCCACCAGGGTCATAAGAGGCATCGCTAATCTGTCAATGGAAGAAGATAAGAGGAGCCAGGGACTCAACTGGAAGAAGATGAGAGATGGGATAAAGAGGAGTGCTAAGAGGAGGAATAGTCCAGTCGTGTCCAGCCCGATGGTGGCGGACAGTAAGGCCTTGGTCTTCACAGTAGCACACAGCGAAAGAAGCTGCTCTTTTTCTGCTGTTCAGGGGTGATCTTCACGCCTTGGTTGCTGCCCTGAGGATTGTTGCCCTCCTGTGTGAGAAAAGACCAAACAAACCTCCTTTTAGACTCAAGATTCTCATTTTATTACTACCACTCAAACTGATTAAAATGAACGAATCTTTTTCCGAGTCAATTCGATCGTTGAATCAACCAAATGACACGAAAAAAAGATGAGTCCAAGGCGAGCATTTGAGCTTATAAAATTATTGCTGAAGTAAAAAAAAAAAAAAAAAAGTAAATCCAAAAAAAAGTTATATAGGTATAAGTTTCTGAAAATTATTTATAATTTTTTTTTTTATATTAAATATATATATTTTTAAATCAGGTTGAACTCAAAACTGCAATAAAATCAAAGCCATAAATCTAAATAGGTTGTGTTCCAAATTTGAGGATGATATCTCAAAAAATGAGCTTTCGGTACGAGTTTGTTTGGGCGTAGTAACATATTTTCCCCATTGGGTGCCAGCAAAACCCCACTGGAGCTCACAGTGATTGGATTTGAATTTGCACTTTTTCTCTCTCAGTATTACAAGCACACACACATATTTTTTTATAACACACACACTAACCACACTCTGACATCCATACCAACACACCCACACAAATATTGTTGCATAATGTATCCAGTTGGCTCTATAATACGCCGACGCAGAAAACAGGAATAAAGCGATATTTGTTTTATTGGCCAAACTTAAAAAAAATGGCACCATCTGATAAAAAAAAGTAAAAAATTAAATGTTGAAGCCTTGGCATCAGAATGAAAGCCTCTTAACAAAGATTGCATAATTTTATAGTTAACTGAACCGGGGATTAAAAATGGAAGTTTTAATGGGTTTCAATGGGGACATTTTTGTCCAAAAGGTGCTGAGAGAGAGTATTTTTTGTACCTAATGCAAAAAAATATTTTTTTAAAGAAAATGACGGTAAAATAGTAAAATTCTAATAAAAACACACACCTGTGCCAAGTTTTTTGCCGTTAGCTTTAACATAGGCAAAGTGATCAAAAAAACTAAACTGAAAAGGACAAAAATGTCCATAAGGATGCACAAGGGGTAAAGCCCTTTGAACAGTTTGCACTGAAAGTGTCTTTTGGACCTTGAACCGTTTGGTTCCCATTGAAGTCCATTATATGAAGAAAAATGCTGGAATGTTTCATCAAAAACCTTCATTTCTTTTCGGCTGAAGAAAGAATGACATCTTGAATGACATGGGGGTGAGTAAATTATCAGCAAAAGTTTTTTTTAAAGGTGAACTACTCATACTCATTTTATTACTACAGCTCAAACTAGGAATTTGTTGCAAAATGTCATCCAAAAAGGAAACTCGTCATTATTTAGTCGTCATTATGTACCTATGGAGCAGGGGTGTCAAACTCAGTTCCTGGAGGGCCAAAACCTTGCAGAGTTTAGCTTCAACCCAAATTAAGCACACCTGATCAGCTAATCAAGTGCTTCAGGCTCATTTGAAAACTAAAGTGTGTGTGTGTGTGTGTGTTGAAGCAGGGTTGGAACTAAACTCTGCAGGGCTGTGGCCATCCAGGAATAAGACCCTTATTCATCGTCTGGAATCGTTTAAAGCACTGAAACTGTCTTTTGGACCCCATTGAAGTCCATTATATGGAGAAAAATCCCGGAATGTTTCATCAAAAAGCTTATTTTCTTTTCGACTGAAGAAAGACAGACATGGACATCTTGGATGACATGGGGGTGAGTAAATTATCAGCAAACGTTTTTTAAAAGTGAACTACTCCTTTAACTAATGAAACCTTGTAAAGTGTTACTCGATTATGAATATAAATTCATTTTTACACAGAAAGGGAAAATCTCACCAATTTCGTGTCCATCTTTGATTTTATGTCTCTGGCGAGCGTTAAGAATGCCTGTGGAAACATCATTAGACCTTTAAACACTCAGATATGATCAGATATGAAATGAGGATTCATCATAAATTTGCACTTACGTTCTCAACGTTGATATTAGCCTTTGCACTCGTCTCCATGAACTTGATGCCGTACTCTAACGCCAGCTAAACGGGTACAGGCAGATTTGATTCAAAATACATAAATAAATGATTGTGGAAGGTGCTTCCATCGTTGCTGTAGCATCTTAAACAATTTAATATAAGCAAACAAGAAGCATGGTCTGCTCACCTTCTCGCCTCTGTCTTTAGACACCTGCCTCTTCTCATTAATGTCACATTTGTTCCCCAAAATCATTTTTTCTACATCAGCTGATGCATGCTGGGTTGAACACATACAATACATTAGCTATTAAATATTCAAACAGTACTTTTATGGATGTGCAATGCTACATATTTTCAGAACTAAACGACTAGTAATTAGGCATCAGGTAGTTTAGGGTAATGTCCACCGTACAAAAAAAATAACAAGCATAACACGTGCTTTTGTATTCAGAAACTGTCATTGTAATGCTTCAGGTGCAATGACTGATAAATAGATGAAATATTTACATTTTCATTTGGATCCAAAGCAAATTGTGATGCGGTTTTATCAGTTCATGCATTCTCATGAGAATTGAAACCATGGCTTTACTGTTTATTTTGTTGTTTATTTGTGCCGGGGGACTGCAGATGTAAATTAGCCTAAGGCTAACTCTGGTGTAATGCATCAAATGTTTACATTTATGTTATTAATTGCACATCGTCCCTTTTAAATAAAAATCAATCAATCAATCCAATTTGAGCTATTTATGCTAATATAAAAACCTGCGGATTATGCATACTATGGAAACATTGCACACAACCGGAAGTGTATTATTAAAGGCAGATAAATCAGGCATTGAGACACTCACCTCCTCTATGTTTCGGATCCAGTTTTTGATGTTGTCAAATGATTTCTCATTGGTTATATCATAAACCAGCATGATACCCTGAGATCAGAGCACAAGACAAATTACAACTGTGCAACACACTGCAATTATAAAGATGACAGCAAAAATGAGCATTAGTATTATTATAGCATTACAGGCACGAATGACAGCGGATCATACATGCACTCTCAGAAAAAAGGTACAAAAAAAAGCTGTCACTGGGGTTGTACGGTAAACTTTTGTCCATTTTAGGCGCTAATATGTCAATTTTAGGCGCTAATATGTAAATTTTAGGTGCTAATAAGTAAATTTTAGGTGCTAATATGTAAATTTTAGATGCTAATAAGTACATTTTAGGTGCTAATAAGTAAATTTTAGGTGCTAATACGTAAATGTTATGTGCTAATATGTAAATTTTAGGTGCTAATAATTACATTTTAGGTGCTAATATGTAAATACTAAGTTCTAATAAGTACATTTTAGGTGTTAATATGTGAATTTTAGGTGCTATTATGTACCATTAAAGTACCAATATACACCCTTTAGGTACAAAAGTGTATCTTTTGAAAAGGCACAGCCCCAGTGACAGCTTTTGTACCTTTTTTTCTGAGAGTGTAAGAATCCTCTTACCATTGCTCCTCTGTAATACGCCGTTGTGATCGTTCGGAATCGCTCCTGCCCTGCCGTGTCCCTGTAAATATCAAACAATATAAGTGTTGTAACTGTGGCCCTGCAGAAAAGCAAAGTGGAAGATGACATCCTCCTTACCAGGGCAATGACAAAAGACAACCACTAACATGTGCCTCCATGTAAAGGAGAAATGAATCATGGTTTCACAAGTCGAACAGCAGCTCCTTCATTAAACTCTCTTACGTACTTTCGAATACGAAGTGACTCATGGCAGCAAACTGGTAGTCTTTTAACATTTATCACAGTTACACATGAATTTTGAACATTGACTAGACGGAAGGACGACTAGAAACTCACCATATCTGTAACTTTATCTTCTTGCCATCTAGTTCTATTGTCCTGATCTTGAAATCGATACCTGGAAGAGAAAATACACAGCAGAAGTGTCATCATAGGCTGAAAAACAAATCCAATACAGCATCTCTTTCAAAAAAGCAATAACAGATGTCCATAGGATGCATAGAGCATGTGATGTATGATGAACATGTGATGAATGACAAAGCCAAGCATCAAACCACACTTCATATCAACAGTTCATATTGCAAAGTATTAAGACCGCCGGTAATAAACATCTATCAGAACTGTACTAAAAATATAATGTTATAGGAACTAAATATTTTGCAAATAATATTTTATGCATTTTTAGTATTTTTATAGTATAAATTGGGTCTTTATACATTTATGTCTTTTAAATTTTAGGATTGGTGTCCCTCACATGAGGATATTCATATTAGTTTGTGGGTCTGTGGAATCTAAAAGATGGAAACCCTCTGATCTGGACCATCGTAAAGTTGATTTAAAGGGTTAGTTTGACCAAAAATGAACTTTGTGTTACAATTTACTGATGTCGTTCCAAACCTGTAAGACTTTCGTTCATCTTCAGAACACAAATGAAGATCTTTTTGATGAAATCTGAGAGTTTTATGTCATTGACAGCTAAGCAACTACCACTTTGACACTTTGAAAAGTTGAGTAAGAGATTGTGAAACTAATACATATGAATTGAGCGGTTTAGTCCAAATATCGGATCACGTTTGAGCTTCAACGAGAACCAATGAGGTTCATTCTCGTATTACGCATCACGTTTGAGCTTCTGCAAGAACCAATGAGGTTTGTTCTCATGCTTCAAGCAGGTTTGGTTGAGCTTCTGTATATGTTTGCTGATAAAAGCTTAAATTAAATCTGTTCATTTATTATATACAGCAATTGTGTCTCTTCAGATAATTTGGACTAAACCACTCCATTCATATGGATTAGTTTTACAATCTCTTTATGAAGCGTCAAAGTTGAGTAGCTGTCAATGGAGGGACAGAACCGGCTCAGATTTTATTAAGTCTTCATTTGTGTCCCAAAGGTGAATGAAAGTTGTACAGGTTTGGAACAACATGAGGGTGAGTAATTAGTAATTAAATTACAGAAGTTTTGGGATCCATGGATCATATCATTACACTCAAACAAGACATGATAATAAAAGCCTTGTTTTTCTCACATAATACAAATTGCAACGTCACATTGTTGAACAAGTAGATGTCAGTGCCACTGTTTTGGTAATATCATTCATGTATAAAGTAACATGCATTACCATGGTGTGTTTATCCATTCAGCATCATGTACTGGCTAACTTTGGCTATACCAAAGCAGTATCACAGTCTGATATTAGCACAGCTGTACCATGGTACGACCATAGTAACAGTAAGGTTTTCTGAAACAGTATTTAACTGAAAGTAACGTACACATACAAATAAAACATTGAGTGAGTCTTATAGTGTGTGTTACAGGTGACAATTGGCTCACGGGTTTCAAACCACACATATTTTTTTTAATATATATTTAACGTTAATTCGACATCCAACAGTTTATATAATGCTTCTATCCATTTGATATTAAAAAGTGTCCAAAATAAGAATGAAAACAAAAGCAAACCTATCATTTAATGTCCGAGTCATTCTGTCAAAGCAGCTAGATGCTAACCAACAAAGCAGCAGAAAGGTTCATTAAACACACACTAAATCATCACACAAACATAATTAATTACAAAACACCAGCGAACATGTCAAAGTTTAGAAACGAAACAAAACTCAGGAAGAGCTAACACAGTTACTGGTCCATTAGCTTAGCCGCTAGCGCAGCCTGACGTTTCATAAACAATCCGACATAAATATAAGATCTAAATACCTATTGTCGAAATAAACGTCGAGTTAAAGGCATCCTCCGAGAATCTGAACAGCACACAGGTCTTCCCGACACCGGAATCCCCGATTAACAGCAGTTTAAACAAATAGTCGTAAGTCTTCGCCATACTGAATGTATTGCGGAAATCCCGCCCGGTACTTTAGCAGACAGCGCAGAATCCGCACAGCGCCGAGGAACTGACCAATCATTCTACGGCGAAGGCATTCGAATTTAAATATTAATGAGGTCAAACTGACGTACTACAAATCCTCCCTTGAGCGTGCGGGCACGTATCCTCATTAATATTCATAAGATATGCCTTCGTCATAGTAGTGTTCGTTCATTCGCCCAGTCCCAGCGGCCACGTCAAACGCCAAAGTACACAATTAAAGGGATAGTTCACCCAAAAATGAAAATTATCCCATATTTCTACTCACCCTCAAGCCATCCTAAATGTATATTACTTTCTTCTTTGAGCCAAACACATTCAGAGTTATATTAAAGAATATCTATAGCTAATATCTAGCTTTATAATAGGACAGAATGGTAGATTTTGAAGCCCCAAAAAGCGCATACATCCATTATAAAAGTAATCCATACGTCTCCAGTGGGTTAATAAAGGCCTTCTGAAACGAAGCCATGCATATTTGTAAGAAAAATATCCATAATTATAAATAAACTATTTTCTACTTTACAAACTATAATCACTGTCTTCTAACGGCCGTATGCGACAAAACAAACCCGTCATTAGAAATCTAAAACGAGAAATTTTAAAGACAAATGCGGGAGGAGCTTCAGTTTGTTGTTTGGACCACGAGAGGCGTCGACTCTCACTTACGCTACTCCTACATCATCCATCGGGTCAGAGGTCAATCTTCCGCCTGAACTAGACTCATGTTACCAGAAGCCAGTGATTATAGTTTATAAATGTGTAAATATGTATAGTTTTCTTACAAAATATGCATGGCTTCGCTTCAGGAGGCCTTTATTAACCCCATTGTAACCACATGGTATGGATTACTTTTATGATGGATGGATGTGCTTTTTTGGGCTTAAAAAAACAAGATACCATTCACTCCCATTATAAAGCTGGGAAGAGCCAGGATATAAATCTCTGACTGTGTTTGGCTGAAAATCATATACACCTAAGATTTCTTGAGGTATAATTTTATTTTTTGGGTGAACTATCCCAATATTTATAAGATAAGTCTTTGCCATTGTATGATTCATAAAATGTGCTTCCTGAACTAATACAAGACCTCATAGTTTCACAGCAATTTACTTACATAAGTCTGTGCCTCAATGTCATTAGTGTGTGTGTGGCCGGTCAAATTCCTTTATAAGACTTGGCTTCAGGCCTGAGATTCATTTTCCTTTCAATTTCCCCCCCATTATATTAATGTAGGCTAAAAATTAATATACACATCATATAGGCTACATGTTAAATACATAATATATATTTAAATATGTTTTGCATTGCAATAAAGAGGGTAAATGTCATGAAAACAATGCAAAAATGCAACAAAAAAAATCTTATTGATCCAAAATGGCTTTAGTTTTTCTTTGCAAAATATTGATTGAAATAATTCAATGCAATTCTCATAGATTGGAAAGTGATGTGCAAATAAGTAATAATAAACATTTATTTAGTTTAACATGGGTATAAAAAAAACATCAAACCACATTGAAAATAAATCTTGCAGGCATCAAGGGTACAAAATGGTCCCACAACAAACTATTAAAGACTTCTTATTGCCAAAAAAACAGTCCAATCGTTCTAAAACATAATGCCTTTACAACTTTCTTCATGTTTTTTAGTACATTCGCATACATTTCCCTAACACGTGATTTAATAATTGGTTTATTTATTGACACTTGTTGGGTTTTTACCGACAAATGGCAGCAACAAGACCTTATTTATTATTTTTAAATGGACCAAGGTAGGTGCATTATGAAATAATCAGAAAAGTACAAAGGCAAAATATAGAAAATAATGGATGGAAGTAACATAACTTACAACATAAAACCAGAAACACATAAAACATTGCTGGAATGGTTGACAACTGAAACGTGTGTATTCTTCACAAGCTGTTGAGCTCTTGCAGCGTTTGATCCAGGACTTGATGCATCTCCAGGTTCTGCTGTTTGGCCTCAGCCAGACTCTCTGAAATAAACCAGCGTTACAATTCCAAATAAACATCACTGATTGCAAATATATCAGTGCAATTTTTGTAAACAGATTTCATAACAAACCAGGCATCAACTACTGTATAAACCACAGCTGGGTTACGGAAGTAAAATCCCATTCGTTTTGACTGGAAACGAATTTGTAACCGATAATTCATAAACCTTTTTAAATACATTAATACAATGTGCTCTGGGATTTTTTAAGTGATAATATATGCTAACTATTTAAAATCAAATTTTTTATCATGGAAATGGAAACCAAGTCTTCTTGTTGTATATATTTGAAAATTTTGCAGTAAAACATTTGCATAAATATTTTTCGAAAATCTCCTGAGTTCTTACTAAATATTAGATAGTGTTACTACAGTATGTACGGAGGTGTATTGCATTCACTTGAAGAAAAAAATCTACTCTGTTTTTCTGAATTAACGAGTTAATTTTTCATGAGAAAAAAAATTTGCTCTGTTTTTCTGAATTAATGAGAAAATTTTTTTGCTCTGTTTTCTGAATTAATGAGTTAATTTTTCATGAGAAAAAAAATTTGCTCTGTTTTTCTGAATTAATGAGAAATTTTTTTTGCTCTGTTTTCTGAATTAATGAGTTAATTTTTCATGAGAAAAAAAGTTCTTGCTCTGTTTTTCTGAATTAATGAGTTAATTTTTCGAGAGAAAAAACATTTTTGCTCTGTTTTTCTGAATTAACGAGTTAAAAAAAATTCCTTGAAAAATCAACTCGTTAATTCAGAAAAACAGAGCAAAAAAAATCCATGAAAAATTAACTCGTTAATTCAGAAAAACAGAGCAAAATATTTATTTTTTTCTCATGAAAAATTAATTCAGAAAAAACAGCAAAAAAAAAAAAATCCATGAAAAATTAACTCGTTAATTCAGAAAAACACAGCAAAATATTTATTTTTTTCTCATGAAAAATTAATTCAGAAAAACAGCAAAAAAAAAAAAAAAAATTCCATGAAAAATTAACTCGTTAATTCAGAAAAACAGAGCAAAATATTTATTTTTTTCTCCTGAAAAATTAATTCAGAAAAACAGCAAAAAAAAAAAATTCCATGAAAAATTAACTCGTTAATTCAGAAAAACAGAGCAAATATTTTTTTTTCTCATGAAAAATTAACTAATTAATTCAGAAAAACACAGCAAAAAAAAAATTTCCATGAAAAATTAACTCGTTAATTCAGAAAAACAGAGCAAATATTTTATTTTTTTCTCATGAAAAATTAATTCAGAAAAACAGCAAAAAAAATTCCATGAAAAATTAACTCGTTAATTCAGAAAAACAGAGCAAAATATTTATTTTTTTCTCATGAAAAATTAATTCAGAAAAACAGCAAAAAAAAAAATCCATGAAAAATTAACTCGTTAATTCAGAAAAACACAGCAAAATATTTTTTTTTCTCATGAAAAATTAACTAATTAATTCAGAAAAACACAGCAAAAAAAAAATTTCCATGAAAAATTAACTCGTTAATTCAGAAAAACGGAGCAAAAACTTTTTTTCTCATGAAAAATTAACTCGTTAATTCAGAAAAACAGAGTCGATTTTTTTTTTCTTCAAGTGAATGCAATACACCTCCGTAAGTATGCAATATTATATCTCGGCAAAAAAACAACAAAAAAACCTTTTCCTAATCCAGCTGTCTCATAAACCTATTATGAATATACAGCATGTTGTCCTCTCTATGAATTGCTTTTGTTCCAGTATTGCAAGTAATTTTGCATAAAAGTGTCAACTAAATGCATAACTGTAAATAGCAGTATATTCAGAATTATGCTTTACAAAAGAGGATCATTCACATTTTTTAACATGAAGAAATTATCAATTGTGTTGTATAAAAAAGTTGATAAGTGCTTCTTAAAGGGGACATATCATGCAAAATCCACTTTTTTAGCCCTTAAATGCATTTTGTTGTATATTTGCAGTGTTTATAAGTACAGAAAAGATGAAATTATTCTCTTCAGGTGCTTCGTTTATATCTTTATATTCTGTTTTGGTCATATTTTTCAACCTGTTCAGATTTTTCTGTTTTCTATGACGTTTTTTGAACTATCACGTCACTGTATTTGCAGCGGAACTGACATAAAGACATCGACTACCGGCCCAACACTTCGAGCAATCCGCCATTATTATTTCTCGCTCCGATTTTGTAGTCCGAGCTCAATGATGCAGAAGTTACGAGAGGGCAAGTCAAAATGTTCGGTTGTTGGATGTACGTTAGTGACCTGGAGCACTTCAAGGATTCCCACTTTAACAACCTCCGCCAGTATAAAGAAGCGTTTGCCGATTGACTTCGTCTGAATGAGGGGTAAATTCCTTCTATCATTTAGCTGCTGTGTTTTTTGATGCTTTTCTACACGCAAGTTATTATTAATACAGATTTTTAGTGGTAAGATTGGACCGTAGTCATTTATCTTGTCAGTGTGCTTGTTTTAACAAGAGAAATAGTCGACTTTCACTAATAACACAACATAGTTAACTTAACGTTACATACCCCTGCATCCATATGAAGAGGTTGTTCTGCAGGTTCGTCGTCATCTTTATCGACTCGCTCGCTCTGGCTCGAATATGTAACTTGATGGACAAGTCTTCCGTTGTTGACATTTTGTTAACGAGTGACTAAAAATGTTCTTTGAAGGTATCGTATATAATCGTATCTCTAATCAAACTACAATAATGGTCGAACGCGGGGAGTTGAACCGTGAACTCATCGACCTGGAGAGCGGGCGGGGTGTGACGCATCTCCTTTTTATTTAAAGGGGCCGCGTTTGAAACGGGTCGCTCACAGACGCACATCAGAAAAGGGGCCTGTGGAGCTATAATAACGAGGAATTCAGACCCAAGCATTGCAGTTATGCTTTATATAGACCACAAATGTATGATTTATAAGTAAAAATGAATGATTTAAAAGCATGATATGTACCCTTTAATTACCAAAAGAGCTACAAAGATGACTAAAATTAGAAAGATAAAGACTAGGCTTTTAGTTATATTCGTAAAAGCAAGAAATTGAAAACAAGCGGGAGTGTTCAAAGAACAGAAAATATTTATTACGTTTTAGAGGAATAAACAAACTTTAAAAGACTACGTAAGGCACCAGGGTGAGCAGGGAAAGACAAGCAGAGGCACAGCCAATCAGAAAGCCACAGGGTAATTTATGCTGATTGAACGAGAAGGCTGTCAATCACAGTTCTGGTTTACTGTAATAATGATGCATCTGTCTTTAATGCCCTGTCGACATATTACAGAATAGCATCAAGCACTGCTGACACATAAACCGTCTATAAGGCGGACATATCAGTGAGGGCGAGATCCAGCTCTTCACTAATGGCCTTGTAACTCTGCTTCTGAGAATAGACTTCATCTGGAGGTCAAAGGTCAAGAGCAGAAAGGAGAGGCGTTTCGGCAGAGGATGGAGGAAGCAGGAAAAGGGAAAGAAAAGGAAGGAAGCAGTCAGTTCAACAGGTCAGAGAGGACAAGACACAGCACATTAAAGGTCCCGTATTATGCCCCTTTTCACAAGATGTAAAATAAGTCTCTGATGTCCCCAGAACAGCTCAAAATACCCAACAGATCATTTTTTGCAGCATGAAAAACGCGCTGTGTGCCCTTTAAATGCAAATAAGCAGCTGCTGCCGGCACAGGGGGCGGAGCTTCATGAGCTCGCACTTAGTCTCTCAGGACTAACCGTTTGGACCCCATTGAAGTCCATTATATGGAGAAAATCCTGGAATGTTTTCATCAAAAACCTTAAAGGATTAGTTCACTTTTCAAAAAACTTTTTGCTGATAATTTACTCGCCCCCATGTCTTCCAAGATGTCCATGTCTTTCTTTCTTCAGTCGAAAAGAAATGAAGTTTTTTGATGAAAACGTTCCAGGATTTTTCTCCATATAATGGACTTCAATGGGGTCCAAACAGATCAAGTTCCAAAAGAAACTTTCAGTACAAACTGCAAACTTGTTCAAAGGGCTTTAAACGATTCCAGGCGATGAATAAGGGTCTTATCAAGCGAAACGATTGCTCTTTTTTTTTAAAAAAAATAACAGTTTAAGTTTTATAAGATCAAATGCTCGCCTTGCTCTGTTCTGTGGTGCACGTTCGTGACTCTCCTGTTTGAACTCGTTCAAAAAAATAAACAAATCAATTCATTCGTTTCTTTCGCCGAATGAACCAAATGACTCGGAAAAAGATTTGTTCATTTTGATGAACGAGTTCGAACAGGAGTGCGTTACAGAACAGAGCAAGGCGAGCATTTGAGCTTATAAAACTTAAACTTTGTTATTTATTTATAAAACGAGCGATCGTTTCGCTTGACAAGACCCTTATTCATCGTCTGGAATGGTTTAAAGCCCTTTGAACAAGTTTGCAGTTTGTACTTAAAGTTTCTTTTGGAACTTGAACCGTTTGGTTCCCATTGAAGTCCATTATATGGAGAAAATGCTGGAATGTTTACATCAAAAACCTTAATTTCTTTTCGACTGAAGAAAGAAAGACATGGACATCTTGGATGACATGGGGGTGAGTGAATTATCAGCAAAAGTTTTTTTAAAAGTAAACTGCTCCTTTAATGGCAGGCTAGCAGTTACCGTTGACTCGCGCTAGCTAGGCTAAACTATGCAACTGGAACGACTGGATGATATTTTTTTTCTCCACTGATAATAAATAACACACAAGCTAACTTGGAAATGAGGCCTGATGTCCAAAATCCTGAACCACCCCTTTAAAAATAACAGGTCAAATATGCTAGCACTATTACCGCTCTTCTTTCTTTCACTACAATGAACAGACCAATTAAGCTTGACTAGCTGCCGCGCACAGTCAAAGGGGACAAAGGTTAAATTCCAGCTGACGTATTAGTGACGAACAGTTCAGTTAAGAGGGAACTTACCCTCAAGGTCATCGATGGCCTTTTCCAGTTTAGCCACCGACCTTTCAGCAAACTCTGCACGCGTCTCGACCTGAGGTCAGAGAATGGCCATGAAATATACTCTACACTAAATACAAATGCATGTGTGTGTCCATTATGCATTTCATTTATCTAATAATGACTCATCTGGTGTAATGCAAGGAAACTCAATCGCCCCCTAGTTCAGTATAAGATCAGATGCTTGCTATGGGATTGTGTACATGTGTAAAGCATGAAAGACTTGCATGCAAAACTATTAGAATAATCAGTTGTTTTAGGTTTAACTTTCCCACCTCTTTCAGTTTATCAGTGAGAACTCTGATCTCGTCTTCATACTTGTCCTCTTTCTCCGAATACTACAGAAAAAAAAAACAAAAAAGGTTATTTGGACTATTGGTTCTCAAAACTCAGATTTCACAGTAGCAACATTACACCAGAATTGTTTATAATGCAAAAGTAAATTGAAATAAATATTACAAATATTGATGAATTGCTTTGGATAAAGGAAGTCGCTTTGGATAAATACATCAATGTAAATAACGTAAATGAAATGTATTGATATTATCATGAAATGCATAGCCCCGACAATGTATAAAAATACTACTATGACATAAACTTAATGCCAGTTTAACCAGTTTTACCAGTTGATTTACCAGCTTAACATTGAACAAACTCTGAGCAAAATATTGTTTTATTATAATTGAGCCAAAAAAATTTGAGATACATTTTATTTTCACTTTGAAAAGTTCATAAGCTGTCCTAATTATGCATGTTTAAATATTTCATTGTATTTAACAACAGATCAACTTTACACAAGACTTTACACAGAAATTCGTTTTGCCCCGTGGAATTATGGGCCATTAGTCAGCTGACTTACCTTATCTGATTGAGCTTCTAAGGACTTGAGATTATTGGTTACATTTTTCAGTTCTTCCTCCAGATCTCCACCTTTACTGTAAAAAAATATAAATATATATATTTTAAAAAGCAAAAATGTAGCAAATATTTTAATAACATCAAGAGTTTTCTGCTTATCAATATTAATCATTACATCATAATCCATTAACTTTCATATATTTAATTTGTTTTTTAACGAGCTTTAACCACTATAAAAGTACCAAGACAAATTCTTATCAACTTGTTGACATGGCAGTAAATTATTGAAATGAAATAAAATAAAAGCTTGTTTCTGCCACAGAATAAAAAAAAAAAATATTATAGTTCTTCCTCCAGATCTCCACCTTTACTGTAAAAAATATAAGTATATAATATAATATAAAAAGCAAAAATTTAGCAAATATTTTAATAACATCAAGAATTGTTTTCTGCTTATCAATATTGATCATTACATCATAATATATTTAATACGATTTTCAACCAACTTGGATCAGTAAGACACTATAAAAGCTTGTTTCTGCCACAGAATAAAAAAAATATTTCTCATTATTGTCTTTATTTCTCGCAATTCCAAGTGTACATCTAGAAATTCAGATTTTAAACATAAATCGGGAATTTCAAGAACAAACCTCAGAATTGTGAGAATTTGAGAAACCACCTTAAAGTGAACATAAAATCAAATTGGACTTCATTTTCCTGGTCTAAAACTGCACCATTCATCAATGCATGTTATTCCAAAGAAAAAAAAAGTCTTTATAATCTTTAATAAAAATGTCAGTTTGCAACTAAAATTGGTTTTGAACTCTGTTGCATGTTGACTTTAAGCTGGTTAAGCTAAGTTTAGTTAAGCAACTTCTGATTGGTTAAAGAGGACCCATTACGCCTTTTTACAAAGTCTTGATATTGTTTTCTGGCTCTAGAACAGGTTTTCATGCTTGAATGTTGAAAAACTCATTTATTATTTGAGTAAAACTTATTTTTCACATTGTTGCGTCTCCTCTCTTCACAGTCTGTCAGTAACGCTCCTGTCTCTATGAAGCCCCTCCTGAAAAGCGCACTGCGCTCTGATTGGTCGGCTGGAGCAGTGTGTTGTGATTGGTCAATCGGAAATGTCCCGTCTCTTACCATAACCGAAAAGAAATTAACGTTTTTGATGAAAAAAAAAAAAAAGCCCTTCGAGGCTGCATTGAAACTGTCTTTTGGACCTAGAACCTTTTGGACCCCATTGAAGTCCATTATATGGAGAAAATCCTGGAATGTTTAATTTCTTTTCGACTGAAGAAAGAAAGACATGGACATCATGGATGACATGAGGGTGAGTAAATTATCAGCAATGAACTCCTTTACTCCTTTAACACACTACTAACTAACTCAACCAGGCCCCGCCCCTTTATTCTGCATATTCATTATTTAAATGAGAAATATTGTGATGTGTTCGTTCCCTGAATAAACTCAAAGACTACAATGGAGGCGTTTCAGGAGTCCAGAAACACTGACACTGATATAGAGAAGAACTCATTCCTGTTAAACTAAAGAAAGATGAATGTGTAAAAAAGCACATTAGGTCCTCTTTAAATCTGTTTACTGTGATGAATGTTGTGGGTACTGACAGTTCTGCGATCTCTGCTCTCTCTTCTGCCCTTTCCAATTCACCCTCCAAAATCACCAGCTTACGAGCAACCTGCAAACACACACACACACACACAGATGAACTCAGAGAGGAGGTTTACAGAAGCACTCCTGATTCAAACGATAAAGTATCTGTAAACTGTATAATAAGTGTGTGTGTGACGAACCTCCTCGTATTTGCGATCGGCATCCTCAGCGATGTTTTTGGCTTCTTTGAGCTGTATTTCCTGAATTTCCATTTTCTCCTCGTCTTTCATCGCACGGTTTTCAATCACCTTTATGCCTCTGGATGCGAAACACACACAGATAAACCATACACACGTTTTGTTATGCAATTTACTAAGTAAACTTTTATAGCCATTAACTTATGCCAAGTGTTTTATCTTATTAACTGAGGTACCATTATGTTGCGAATCTTGCGATACAGAAATTATGTTTACTCGACCCCACAGATGCATGTGTGTGTGTGTGTGTGTATAATACTGACCTCTCGCTCTCATCCACCGCCTTCTCTGCCTCCTCCAGTTTCTGAAGCGCAGTGGCCAGTCTCTCCTGAGCTCGGTCCAGTTCCTCTTCCACCAGCTGGATCCTGCGGTTCAGAGCGGCGACGTCACCCTCCGCCTGTGCACATACAGAGAAGCAGTGGTTAAAGATCCCCAGGAATGAGGAAGGATAAGTGACGCTCACTGCAGAGCCAAATGATCCGCCCATTACGCCCAAAGAGGGGGAGCTGGATGTCAAGCTCCACCCATTACGATCACAGAGGTGGAGCTGGGCGTCAAGCTCCGCCCATTATGACTAGTGAGGGGTAGCTGGATGTCAAGCTCCACCCATTTTGACCAGAGAGGCAGAGCTGGGCGTCAAGCTCCGCCCATTATGACCAGAGAGGTGGAGCTGGGCATCAAGCACCACCCATTACGACCACAGAGGTGGAGCTGGGCGTCAAGCTCCGCCCATTATGACTTGTAAGGGGTAGCTGGATGTCAAGCTCCACCCATTTTGACCAGAGAGGCAGAGTTGGATGTCAAGCTCCACCCATTTTGACCAGAAAAGTGGAGCTGCACGCCCAGCTCTGGCGTATTATGCCCAGAGAGAGGGAGCTGGGCGTCAAGCTCCGCCCATTATGACTAGTGAGGGGTAGCTGGATGTCAAGCTCCACCCATTTTGACCAGAAAAGTGGAGCTGGACGCCCAGTTCTACCCTATTACGCCCAAAGAGGGGGAGCTCGGCGTCAAGCTCCACCCATTACGACCAAAGAGGTGGAGCTGGGCGTCAAGCTCCACCCATTACGACCACAGAGGTGGAGCTGGGTATCAAGCTCCGCCCATAATGACTAGTGAGGGGTAGCTGGATGTCAAGCTCCACCCATTTTTACCAGGGAGGCGGAGCTGGAAGTCAAGCTCCAACATTTTTGACCAGAGAGGTGGAGCTGGGCGTCAAGCTCCACCCATTGTGACCAGAGAGGTGGAGCTGGGCGTCGAGCTCCGCCCATTGTGACCAGAGAGCACAAAAAGTATTCTCGTCGCTTGAGCCACTGTAGTCACTCGGTCTGTTTTAACGATGTCTTTAACTTTTCTAGGATCCCTCAGAAGCCTATGGAGGAGTGATCCAGCTCTCAGATTTAATCAGAAATATCTTAATTTGTGTTCTGAAGATGAACGAGGGTTGAACAGCATGAGGGAGAGAAATTACTGACTGAGTTTCATTTTGGGGTGAACTATCCCTTTAATTTTTAAAATAGGTTTAAGTGAGCAGAAATGATGATGAGGTAACAGGTTTGATATTTGATGTGGAAAACGGTTTGGAAATAACATCAAAAATAAAATTTTTCTCACCTCCAGGTTAAAGTGGTTTTCCAAACCCACCCTGAGAGACTTTGTGTGCACATTCAACACAAGCTGACTTAAAACCCACACTCTAAAAAATGCTGGGTTGTTTTAACCCAATTTTGGGTCAAATATGGACAATCCCGTTGGATTAAAAATGGGTTTGTCCATATTTCACCCAAAATTGGGTTAAAACAACCCAGCATTTTTTAGAGTGGTTAAAAGTATTTTAAATCATGCCAGAAATCCATTTCCAACTTGATTTAACACTGGTTGACTATAGAGGGGCATGTGGTCACATTATGGGGTAAGTTGTCACAGTGGGAAACTGCACTGATTTAGCCATATTCAACAAGTTATGTAACAACATATCTTCAGCAAAACAATTACAAAACACAAACCAATTGTTTTGACCAAAATAAACCAAAGAAGAAGAGGATAAAATGACCAAATTTAAACCAAATGTGACATTTAGCCCTCATGAGGGCTTAATAAATAAATAAATCTCAGTACATATGAAAGTGCTAATGCCTCATTCATTCAGATTACATAAAAAGCTTGTTTTCTCTAGCAGTGGTTTCTAAATCTCAATGAAGCTAGATGATAATTTATACCTCGTGTTGTTAAAACAAGAGTATTTTTATTATGAAAAATGCCCGGTTGGGGCAAATCGTCATGATATTATTTGGCCAAAACAATTGATATTTCCGTATAGCCTATTTTTATGTGTTTATAAGTGCTTTAGCTGACATATTCTACAGTGTCAGTTACATATACATTACATGTAACATTAAATTATGCATAATTACATGCATGCAATAAACCTAAACCAAACCCTGATCCTAACCTTATAGTAGCCGAAGTACATAGTTACTTAATATTACTCAGTACTTAAATGTATAGTTACAAAATAAAGGGTTACATTTTATTTTAAGGTGTCACTGTTACAGTGTAATTATATTTAAGTACTGAGTAATATTAATTAGCAACACATGTAGTCTACTTACTATATGCAAATGGGTTAGGGAAGGATTAGGGTTCGGTTGAAGGTTAGTTGCATGAAATTATAGCCTAAGCCTACACAATTTATTTGTCGCCTACATAACAATGACACTGTAAACTAAAGTTTTACCAAATAAAGTGTTACCTTGTTTTATTGTTTAAGGATATAAACAACAAAAACTAGTCCATTAAAAGGAAGAGTTTCACTGTATAAATATAGGCTATTTACACCACATTGTGACAACATGCCCCGCCATAGTGCCACGCTAAACTGAATACTATCGACTTGAGTAAACAATGTGACAACTAGCCCCGGTCTCACCTATTGGGATTTCTGTGGATAAAATTTCCCAAAAATAACATAGGCCTACTCAGATATAAACGGCTGTAAAATAAAACAAGCGATTGTGCAACTTCACCAACACGTTCACTAAAGTGTGACAACTAGCCCCGGTCTCCACTATTAGTGTTCAGCGAGCAGTAAAACGAGTGAAAAGCGTCAGACAGCAGCAGGAGAGAGAGAAAGAGGAGGAAAGATGATGGATTCCTCACTTTCTCTCGCAGGTCTCGTTCATTGTCCAGTTGCGCCTGCAGAAACTGCGCTCTGTCCTGCGCCTCGTCCGCCTGGATCTGCAAACACTGGATCTTCCTCTTCACGGCGTCTAAAGACTTCACAGACATCTCCGAACCTTACAAACACCTGAGCGAAGTGTCGGAATAACTCACTGCATAAGTAAAGAGCGCAGATGTGGATCCGCTGCTTAGAAACGTCGCAAACTTTCCATCGGCGCGCGGCGCTGCAAAATGAGGAATCCTGGAAAAAAGGCAGGAATGCGCCAAAAAAAAGAGAGAGAAAAGAGTCCAATCCCAGGAAGAAGATGCGGGTTTCAGATGACATTGGGGGTGGTGTTCCTGTTTGACTTCTGCTACTATTATGTGCTGACTTCTGGACATATTTGGTGTTTCTTGGTATGTTTTGGTGGACCACGTGTGATTGCATCAGGTAAAATCTTCAATGCACAGAAAAAAAAACACTTTTCACACTAGTTTAAATCATTTATTCATTAACAATGTTAACAGAGGACGGGGGAATTCGGTCATGTCAGAGAATTCGTTCTGAAAAGTCATGCACATTTACAACACACACACTCAGATAACGTATTATATTGAGTTTAATGGAGTTATATGTTGTGGAAATCCCCAAATATATGGAAATATAAAAATGAGTGAAACATTTTTTTCACTCATTTTTTTCTAGTAGCCTATAAATTTCAAGCAGTTACACACCAAATGTGGTTTTTAAAGGGTTTGTTCACCCCAAAATGTCGTCCCAAGCCCGTCAGACCTCCGTTCATCTTCAGAACACAGTTTAAGATATTTTAGATTTAGTCCGAGAGCTTTCTGTCCCTCCATTGGAAATGTGTGCCTATACTGTCCTTGTTGTCCAGAAAGGAAATAAAGACATCATCAAAGTAGTCCATGTGACATCAGTGGGTTAGTTACAATGTTTCGAAGCATCGAAAATACATTTTGGTCCAAAAATAACAAAAATTACGACTTTATTCTGCATTGTATTGTCTTCCGGTTCTGTTGTGGATCCGCGTTCAGTGACGCTGCTGACGTGTTTCTGGTGCGTCCGTGTATTCGGGTTCAAATAAATATGGCGGGGCAAAAAAAAAATAAAAAAATAAAATGCAAGTGTTCCTCTGTGTGGAAATCCTTAGACATGTTTGTGAAGATTGTTTTGTACAGCGTGCGTCTCCCTCAGACTGTAAACGAAGCTCAGCCGCAGACGTACGTCAGCCGCGTCTTACGTCAGCAGCGGTACTGAACGCGGAGGCACAACAGAACCGGAAGACAATACAATGCTGAATAAAGTTGCAGTTTTTGACATTTTTGGACCAAAATGTATTTTCGATGGAGAAATTAATACTTTCTCCAATTATTAATATGCCATTATTTAGTAAACCATGGTTTTTGCCACTGTTTTTTAAGCAAGTCAAGATTTACCACAGTTGGGTGTTTACCTATCCACAAGTTTCCTACGCCCCATGAGGCCTTGCGTCAAAAGTGGGCGCGACTTCCGGTTGGAAGTAAACAAAGCACGATTTGACATGCTTGACACTCGTTCATTCAACAGTTGACAGTCATTCAAGTTATAGCGATCCAAACTAGCGAACGATGTGGGAACACAACCTCAACGAAATTAAAAAAGATGAAATAACAGTACCTTTACCTCCGCAGTAGTTGATTGGGAGTATTATAATAACATTATTAATAATCAATACTCATCAAGGCATGGTGACAGACAGTTGTGCGAGCTGACAAACAATTAAAATAAAAAATACACACTTAGTCATTGTGCTTTGGAGTTTATTCAAAATTATAAATGAATGTGCTACTTGAATACATTAACTGGCACATTTGGTATTCTGTCAACACAGGCTTTGATCCTGAGTTTAGGTGTAACATCAGTAGAGAACAGCCAAACACATGCTGATAGAGTTTATAGAATATTAAGAATTGAAACAAATGTACACAGGAAGATTCGTCGTCTTTTGGGAGGTGATGGAAACTACAGTCGTTGGCAGGAACACTCTGATTTTGTTTTCAGCTTATGTTCAAAACAATCACGTTTAAGCCACTGAACTAGTTTAGTCCGATTATAAATACAACCGCGAACAGCACATGTTGTCCATGAGCTCCGTAACGACATCTCTCATAAAGATTTGCGTCTTTAAATAGTAAAATAATTCTCCGAAAAACAGCTAGCCTCTTCGCTAACTAACACACAAAATACCATTGGAATGCTACTTCCGCCGCCTCACCGGAAGTTTTACCCACTTTATTTTTTACAGGAGCGCCCCTCGGAAACTTGTGGATTGAGAATGAGGAGTTGACGTCATTTTACAGAGCCCCTCCCCTTTCCGCCATGTTGGTAGAATTCCCACGACAAAACAGTATTGATTACGTGTGTTTTTAGCTCGGTAGTAGAGGAGTTTCTCGCAATACCGCACTGTTTCATGCCTGGAAGTAACTGCTGCGTTAAAAACCGATAAAAACCCTGGTAACCGATAGCGTCACCTACCATCATGGCCGAATGGCTCAGACCCCGCCCAAATAGGCACGTGACTCCTCATTCTCAATACTATAGACCATTTCACAAGATGTAAACAACACTGGTCCAGAAGCACTTCCTGTTTCAGTTTTTTAACAGTACATAAAAGCTGGGATAAAATACAACCAGAACATTTAAAACTGAATCAAAAAGTTAAATGAACGTTTTAAGATGTTTTCTTTACATGTGAAATAAAGAAAACAGTTACAAACTGAAACAGGAAGTGTTTCTGGACCAGTGTTGTTTACATCTTGTGAAATGGTCTATAGGGTTAAATCAGTTTAACGCGAAGTCTTGAATGTCTGATGGCCTTAATCAAACCTCAGTGTGAAGACAACAAGAGTGAGTGATAAATCAATACTTTTAAATGAGAATTCACTGCATGACGCTACTGCATAGCATTTGTGTTCGATTCAGTGAATTCCAGCATGTGTGGGAGTATTTTTGCAAATGGTTTAGTGAGCTGCAGACGACTGGAGGGTGTGTGTGTGTGTGTGTTTCTCCCCCCATGAGTTGGATTCATTAGATTCAAGGGCTGAAGGTTCATTGTTTGCTTTAGTTGAATTCCTCACATTCCTGCGCTGTGTGTGTGTGTGTGTGTGTGTGTGTAATTGTGACTGAAAGGAAAGAAATGAAGTGAACTTCATGCTCTGCACACTGTTGCCTTGTATAGAAATATTACACAAGTTTAGATTGTGCCACCATGATCTAATTTAGGAATGTCTGGATTTTTAAATCTAATTTGTGAAACAGAAACAGCCTATCAGTATTTTTAAGTCCATTTTAAGACAGCGTATCTATCATTTAAAAGGAATAGTTCAACAAAAATAATGAATAAAGAATATCTCCGTTCCAAAACCCACTGCTCCCTAACCTTCAATTTCAATTAACTAAGAATTTAAAACAATCGTTTTTATGATTAAACACATTGTAAGTTTGTTTATTAAGCATTATGCATGCATTTTAAGAAAACTAAATGCATGCTTTATCTTGTGTTATAAAAGTTACAAGCACTATTTTGCATTGCATTATTTTGCTATAATGTATTGTAATGTTGTTATGATTATTTACCAGATGATACAACATATTATAATGTTGTTTTAAGATATTATGCATTATAAATACAGCCATATAATGCATTATAAATACAGGCTTCATAGAAAGTGCTTTTTCTTTGTAATTCTTTGTAATTTTTGGTGAAATTTACTAGCAAGTGTAAATCCTTCAACAAATGTTTGTCAGTGTCGTGTATTTAAAGCAGTGCATTCTGTGATTGTCAAAATAATATCTTATAAAACAGTGTCTAAGTTTTGGAACAGAGCTTCTTTCTTCATTTTGCACAAAGTTAAAACATACAGTGATGCATTCAGGCTCTTTAGGAGACTTATACAATGAAATCAGTTCATGCATCAAGCCATGAAATTGATTTATATAGTGATTTTCACAATATAAAAATTAGCTTAAAGCAGCTTTGCAGAAAATCATGATGTTAATGTGTATAATAACTTAAAATATTCATGCTTTATAGTCAAATTTAGCAGATTAGAGCTAGATGATAATATTGCGTACATTTAGCGACGATTCAAGCAATCAAGATTCGCTATATATATATATATATATATATATATATATATATATATATCACTGTATGTGTTTATGTGGATAAAGTTGAACATGCACATTTTATATAAAGAGCTAGGCGATAATTAAAGGAGTAGTGAAAATTAGCCCATGATTTACTGACCCTCAAGGCATCCTAAGCTAATTTTACTTTGTAACGTATTAAATATGAATATTGTTCTTACACAAACTCATCACTTTGCTTCAGAAGGCTTCTATTAACCCCTGTTTATCACTTTTTTGAGCTTCAATCTGTTGGTGGCAATTCACTGCCATTATCAGGCTTGTCTGAAAGAAGAAAGTCATATACATGGGGTGAAATCATGGGTTAATTTTAATTTTAAAGTGAACTACTCCTTTAAGTTACATTTTGCAATAAAAGTTGTGACATCGTTATGCATTCCCAGGGTTTTCTGACTAAAAACAAATGCATGCAATGCAATAAGTCGGTTTGGATGAAAGTGTCTACCAAATGCATAATGTACATGTAAAAAAAAATTATATATATATATATATATATATATATATAGCACAGGAGTCATTATGTCATTATGAAATGGTCTTTTCGAAGCTTGACGTGGTGTCAGTGTAAACTCTAAAAAATTATGTGCTGGATTTACATAAATATGGATCATTTTTGCATCATCCAAACTTGGAATAAATTTACTTAAAATTAACGAGAAACCCTTTGTTAAATGTACTTAAATATTTGAGTTCACATAACATTCTTACTTAAAAATATTTGTAATTTTATGCATGCATTTTTAAGTATGTTGCGTGAACTCAAATATTTAAGTACATAAAATGTTATGCTCGATTTACTTAATTTTGAAGTAATTATTGTAGTAGTTGACATGACTTTTTTTCATTTTATTTATGCATACATTT